AAGAAGAGAGACAATATGGGAAGGAGAAGGAAAACAATATAAAAATTCCCTGCACTTGCCTAACCAGGTACAGAGTCATGTATTAGTACCTTTGTTTTCTGCAGTGACTCGAAAGATAAATAGAAAGGAAGATAATTCCTTTGGTAGAAAAGATCAAAGCTTCTAAAAAGTACTGAAATAGGATTTGGAAAGCAGAGCATATTCCCCACAGAGTACTACAATTTTGTGAAAGGTCAAAATTCAGGGTGTTTTACTTGACAATAGTGCTTAAATATATTTTGTGTAACTAATATATCCAGGCAATATTACTTTCAATAATTAAAAATACATATTTCTGGATTCTTGGATATCAGAACAGCTAACAGTGGCAGGTAGAAATTTAGGCTGTTTGTACTCCACAGAGACTGATGAAGATTGGAAAAATTATACCACTCCTCATAGGAGAAAAACATGGAAGGGTGTGAAACATATTTTTCTCTTCCTAAAATCAACAAATCTTTACTAAGTCCAAGTCCAGTGACAGCTACACAGACACATGAAGAGAACAGATTCCATAGCTTTCTCTATATTTTTGCTCTCCAGATTCTTATTTTAAGCGATGACAGGAGGAATATGCTTCTAGTCAAAATCACATCATTGAAAAATCCATGTTAATCACATGGACAGCATTTTGTAAGATCATTTGTATAAAAAAAAAAGACAAATATTCTAGTTACAGTTTCATTTTAAAAGCTGTGAAAAAGAAAGGAAGAAAGAAAGAAAGGGAGAAAGAAAGAGAGAGAGAAAGAAAGAGAGAAAAATAGAGAGTATACTTGCACATGAAAAGAACAAATGATCTTTTAATAACCCAGATGAATGAGTAGTATGTTCAGCAGTTTTCAAAGACAATGAGATGTAACTGGACTGCTAAAGGACACCTAATGGACTTAAATGATTAAAAATAAAAGCAAAGCAGTGCATTTATGATGGTTTAAAAAAGGAGAAAAATAATTCCTAAATCAAGCATAATAAAGCTTATATAAAACTTGTAAGCACTGCAGCAACCTGGGCTGCTCACTGTACCTGCTAAATAAGCAGAAACTTTTAAAAGATAACACTGAGAAACAAAATGCAAATTCTGTGGTTTGACAAACATAAAAGAAGTCTGGAAGTATTAAATTCTGTTGCAGAAATTAATACTGCAGCTTCATGTGGATTCTTAATTGTGTCCTTTGCAAAGGGATATCAATACTAGAAGAGACCAAAAAAGACCAAAAAGTTGTGAGTGAAGGATTACTAGCAAAGAACATTCCAGTCTGGACTGACTAGCTCAGACAGCATTGTTTTAGACCACTTATGCATAAATACAGGGAAAATAATGGTCACTGCAATACCACTGTGCAGACTTGTCAATTCTTTAGCCTTTTCTAGTTTCAAAAGAGTTTAATAATTTGGATGAGTAGGAAGAAATATAAACTCTGACCTTAAGTCAGAGGAAGTTGTGGTCAGATCTCAGCAATGGTAATGCCACTGGCTGAAATCCAAAGCTGAAAAAGAGTGTCTATAGATAACTGATATCTGTTTACGAAAATCTGTTCAGACATCAGTCAACAGGCCATTTGTTTATATTCTGTAGTATGCCTTATGGACTCTGAAATATATATAGCATTTCAACTCACATCTCTAGCTGTTTTAAATAAGAATTCTTTTGTAGATTATGCATAAAGCAGCATAGAATAAATACACATAGATAGAGTTTCAGGAAATAATGGTTCAACCTGACTAAATTTCTTAGTGAAGAAAGAACTCTACAGAAAGCCCTGAGATTATCTTGCTTTATCTGCTAATGCCTCACACTGAATAGATTCTGGCTTTGAGTGTACCAAGCTTACTAACAGTAGTAGAATTAGGATTATTAAGAAGACTGTAACTTAAAGCAAAACAGATGCAGTTCCAGTTTGATAAGCACAACAAAGAAAGATGTGCAGCTATACAATGCTTATCATGTGACAGCTCAGTCTGTTTACAACTGGCTGCCCTAGCAGAGAGTTCTGGCCCCTTCAGTAAATCCTCATTCAGATAAACAGCTGCACTAGGGTTTACCACCACACACTAACCAATGGGTTTCTTTAAAGAACTAGGTATTTTCTACAAAGAGGAAAAAAAGCCAATGCAAGCATGCATACATGTCAGAACACATGAGCATAATATCCAGCACTTAAGTTATGCAGTGTTGCAAAAGCTATATGTTAAATTTGGAATCAGATTCTATATGAGGGCACTACATAAGAGAGCGAAAAAGCAGGTAAAATTTTATGTAGAAAGATGTGAAAGAGCTTTCACGTTCCATCAATTTCTACATGTGTTAAAGTATTTCTCAAAAAGCTCAGTACGTTCATAAACATCAAAAGGAAAATTTTATATACTAAATTATTATACGGTTGTCTGTCCTTTCAGGAAATGTTAAGATAGAAATTCAGAGTATAAACACAGTTTTCCTTTGACGCAGTACAAAGCTTTCCAAGAATACCAGCTTACTCATCTGTTGACTGTCACACTTGGATGCTGGAAAGGACTGTACTGGTTAAATCTAGAAAAATGCATGTTGATTAGGCTCCTAAGATAACGTGTTCACTGCCTTTCCTTATTCTGCCAGCTAGAATAGAATGAATTACCTATTTAATAGCCTCCTTGAATCATATATGCCTTTTTCTACTGATCTACTTCATCTCCTTAAACTCTTGAATTTCATCATTAAAAAATTTCGTAAGTCCTGGAAAGAGCACTCTGTGGCATCACCCCTGTCAGGCTCCAGTGACATAAAAAGTACTGCTCTACAAAAACATGTATTATTATTGTCATCAAAATTCTGGTATGGCATGTGTGCTGGTGCTAGTTATTTTCAGAAGCAAACCCTCTAAAGAGAAAAGGGTTGATACAACGCAAACTGAAGGTCAGTTAGAGTTTAAATACATGAAAATAGGAGAGCAACTTAAAATCTGGCACCTTATAAAAGAAATACTACAGTTAAGCAGCATGTAGTATTTATTATTAAATAATTCAAGAGAGTCTGGTTCAGAGTCTTAATCTAAGTGCTAATTAGAGCAACACACTCAATTTCAACAAAAAAAAGACCTAATTAGTGACCATTTCCAGTTACAAAAAATGAAGTTCCTTAATTTATCTCTGAAAAAAAAAAAGACACTAGAGAGATACAAAATGAAAAGGGAGCTTTAAAAGAAAAAAGGATTTCAAAGGCTAGGCTCCAGCAGGCATTTCATTGCCTAGAGCACACTGCCCTGCTTAGCCCTTGGAACTTGTCATTAGAAGAATAAGATGATTATTTTCCTCTAGGAGAAATTTCTTCTATGCCAGCAAACACAAACTAGAAGTTGTACGTTTTCTGAACTGAGGTAAGCATATACTTGGACTAAGAAATCAGCACACCAAAGTTCATGATTATTTTTTTTCAATAAGAAAGGGTCAAACTGAGCCTGTGCAATTCTTTGAGTTGCAGCAGCTCACTGCACAGTGCTTGGCTACAACATGCTTTTAGCAGTTCATGTTACTTCACAACTGGAAAATCAGAGCCATTATAGAATAAAGAAAATTTGATAACACAGAGCTGAAAGTCACTAAATCAGATGTAGATAATCAGTAAATTAAGAAAGGTTTCTTAATGGGAATTACAGAGCGCTCTGTAAAACTGCATTCAAAATTATCAGCCATAATATCTATAATATTCATTTGATTCAAATGAGAAATCCAACAGTAACACAATCTTAATAAGCATTAAGATTTCAAGTGAAGACTTTCATTTAACATATGTATATAATCTACCTTTAAATTAAATAGCACCTAACTTACCCATTTTATTGTTCTAAATATTGTGGTGATTTCAGTAGAACAGTTTCGTAATAATGCTGAAACTGCTTTATGAACTTGTGCTCTGTGCATATTTTAAGTGCATAGTAGTACTGATGAGGGATGCAGAAGGACAGATGTTTAACTGGCAGTAAGAGCAGAACAGTGAATTCTCAGCTGTCAAGTTTCAGGCTGAAGTTCAAGTGCCTGCCCACAGCTAAAGCTGAGTCTCATTACTGAGTTTTAATAGACTGTTAAGACTCCTCTGATTAGTGAAACAATGGAGCTTACATATTCTTGTCTCAGAACCACGATTTATTTTCAATTTATGTATACAGGAATGAAAAGACATGTATTTATAAAGGAGAAAGAGGTTCCTAGTAAGAATCAGCAAGTCCTGAAGATTATTTGTATCTGAGAGAGCCAAGGCGTTGCATGCAAACTCTGAGCTGAAACAAAGATGTGAGATCCTCCCTACAATATTCCTCACTAACACCACAGCAACACAACAGTCGTGCCAAAGTAGGCTGCTCCTAAATATGCTTTTCCCTTGAAGGGACACTGGCTAAAGATTTCATTTCTGGGAATGACCTATAGATTTTACCTACCTTACCACTATCTGTTTTCTCCCTATATTTGCTTGGTCACATTCATAGTGACACATTCTCTCAACCTTCCTTAGCACCTGTTCAAGCACTAACATTGGTTATCATTCGATCTAATGAAAATAAATCTCCACATCCCTTCTACTATCCATTTCCAGTATCTCCGTTTCCATCAGTTGAGGCATCAACTGGGTGAAATCAGAAGCTATACTGTGTCAGTGAAAATCTGTGAGTCCTTATTTAGAAGTTACCTGCTCCATGTTCTGCTGGTTGCCTCTTTATCTGTGTAGAGCTCAGCAATCTTGCATTCAGTCGTCTTCACTTCCAGAAAGCAGACAACTATTTCTGTATGCTCTTTTGACACTGACTTAGTAAGTATATAATACACAACCTGGGATGCAGTTTTCTTTTATTTACATCAAAAAAAAAGTGTCTGGAAAATTTAATAATTTTCAGAATTCTATATTTATTCGGAAAGGAAATGAGTACTCATTAATTCCTCACCAGTTCTTTCTCTTGCTCCTTAATGAAAATTTGTTCTTTTCAACTTACCAGGCATGATAATATTGGAAAAACCTAGTTTCCTTGTTATGGATACTCCATGGGTAAACATAGATGTATACTCTCTCCTAATTTGTTCTATGTCTCCATGAAGCAACTGAAGAGAAACTGCCAGACCTGAAAATCAAGAGAAAAACAAGGGAAAGTAAGACATTCAAACAGGCTGTGATTATCAGTACCAAATAATTAATAATGTGTAAGTAAACTACAATGACATACCAGCTCAAAATTGTTTCAATAGAGATGGATGGTGACTTGGATTGGAGAAAATTAAAGAAACATCAATTTAGAGAAATATCAATCAATAATATTTGCTATCATTTCATTTTTTCATTTACTTCAACCCAATGCTGCCTTCAGAGTTATGCAGGAAACAGTACAACCACAATGCTCCCTATACCTTTGAAAAACATGAACATTTCATTACAGTGCATCACTTCACCTTATACAAGATTATATAATATCAGAATATCCAATATCAGAAGAATAAAATTCCTAATAAACAAATCTAGCCTAATTTGCATTTGTCACATAGACTCAGTAATTTCATAATGACTGAGATTGAAACTTTTCATCAATATTAATCAGATTCAAACAGTCATGTTCTTTTGTTTGCTAGAAGACAGGCAAAATTCAAGGGTGGCCATATAATCATTTCCCAGTATTTACTACTCAAGAATCTAGGAAGAATAACTTCACCTATCATATCTGCAGTGTGCAAAATCATTGCAGACAGAGCTAAAATTAGCAAAAACAACAGGAATGCCTTATGGTTATTTCAAAAGTAATCACAAAGACAAGTGTCAGGATACAGCTTGTAGAGATTAATCTTCCCTGACCTTCAACATTACTACAGCATATCACGTGTCAACAGACAGATCAAGGGGAAGATAAAACTCTTCACATACACTCAACAACTGAAGATAAAGAAGAATCTCAGTCAAGTCATAATTAAATTCAGATTAAGCTTCAGTAAATAGCATGCACACACAAAATGAACAACAAGGTTATCAGTCCTTCGGGCTTTGGCAGAAAATTTCCCTACAAGCATGTTATATTTAAATGAATGAATTTTACAATGGTTCTAAATTACAGCCTGAAAAATCAGCCTTTAGTATTGCTAATCCAGTCTCGTGCATGTAAGAGACCAGAGATCTGATTAGCTTGACAATCTTTTTCCTCTTATTTTCATTTATGATACATTATTTTGGCACCTATGGAGAATGTGATGTTCTGACCAGACTTCCATTCTCTTAACATGAAAAACAACACACCTACACATCTCCAATTAAGCGCATAAGTAGATCTTAGAAGGAAAAGCATTCACTGAAGCCTATTTTATTTCAAGAACTAAATTCAATACTATGAACATTAATCATCCCAGCAACGGTAATTTGTTCTGTGGTAACCACGTAAATTTAGGAAATAGTAATAATTATTATCAGTGTAAGCCATAAAATAAACCATACAGCAGTCAGATTGTAGTACAGGAGCCTTCTATGTCGTTTCCCTATTGGTAAGAGGTTGCAGAGGCAAAATCCAGACACTCTCAGAGTAGGTGGAAAGTTTTTCATTGCTGGAAGGAAAAAGCTAGGTTGGATCTGTTGGACAGTTAGAAATAGTGATACTTAGCCCACTGTCAATCTTGTTCCTTCTATATTTTGAGATGCTGTTATACATAAGTATGCATATTCAAAACCCCTTGTGTGTATTCATACCCCCATATACCTCCACTTCACTGTTTCCTTGGAAACCTAAAGAAAAACATTTGTCACTGCCCCAGATCACATAAACAACAACAACATTAATCAGATACTGTACACTGGTGTTGCATAAGGTGACTGTTTTTTCTAAGATTTCACAGATTCCCATGAATAATTTTGTTTAGGTAAAACCCAAGATAAATATCAAAAGCTCATCAGTGGCAGATTAGTTTTACCTTGAGAAATATGCTGTCTGTCAAGAATTTGGTGTTCACCATCCCTGAATGCGTTTAAAAACCGTTCGGATGTGGTGCTCAGGGACACGATTTAGCAGAGGGTTGTTAGGGTAGTATGGTTAGGTTGTGATTGGACTTGATGATCTTTAAGGTCTTTTCCAGATGATTTTTTATTCATTCATTAAATAGGTGTGGTTTTGGTTTTTATTAATTAATTAGTTAATTAATTAATTAATATGCTTGTTTGTTTTTAATTTTGGTCTTTTCCAACCTGAGCAATTCTATGATTCTATGAATATGAAACACTTGCTCATGTGTGGGAAGAACAGTATTAGAACTCTGCTTTTCACAGCATTCATTATCCAAAAATGAAATTTGTCATCTGCTTATGTCTGAAGAACCTCTGAAGACCAAGGTTTCAAGTTAACAGCTGTATTACAGAGGACCCAGCTTCCAAATGAAAAGGGAATTGGCAAGAGCAGAAGAACTGATAACTGATAAATCTTGTAAAGATGCTGAAGTCAGGAGAATAAACATCATAATCAATGAAATATGGATATTTAGCCCTGCTGAAAAAGACCTTGGGGTACCAGTGGATGGGAAGCTGGACACGTACCAGCAATGTGCCCTCACAAAACAGAAAGCAAACTGTATTCTGGGCTGCATCAAAAGAAGTGTGGCCAGCAGGGCTGGGAAGGTTATCCTGCCCCTCTGCTCTGTGCTGGTGAGACGTCGTTGGGAATACTGTGAACAGATGTGGAGACTTCAGTACAGGAGAGATAAAAATAAATAATATGCTGTATATGAAAAGCCAGGAACTCATTACTCCTAACAGTATGTATAGCAGTCTAACTAAGGAGTCCAGTTACAATGATACTAAAATACTTACAATTTGATTTGACCCTACAGTATTTGACCCTACAGTGACATAATTAAATACAAGCCTTCCAGCATTTACTCCATGGGCAGTACTTTCAAGTCTCAGGTGTCATTGTACATCTTTACCCTCCCGTGTTCCATTTCATTTGATTACAGAGAACCAATTCTAGGCATAGTAACTACATGTTATAGTTATCTATTACATAGGTTGCTCTGAAACTAATGCCTCCTCTTTATTTCCATAGAAACTATAACAGATACAAAGAGCACAATGGCATGATTTGATAAAGAATATTCTCAGCTACACAACGCTCTTCTTCAACATAGTCACCACTATTTCCTATGCATTTTTGCCAGTAATGAACAAGAGCCTGCATGCCATGCTTACAAACATTTGCAGGAGCAGACTTGACCCACTGTCACTACTAGCTGCAAAGCACCACCCACTGCGTCACTGTGCTCACATCCACTCTTTGGTTTCCATAAACATTCAGCAAGTTTCAATGGATGTGAATGGATATAATTTTTTTCCACGTGGAGGCATTCAGTTAAACACCTTTGCTTTATAGGCACACTCCCACATCAGCCACCATTCTGTCATTCTCACCTAAGAGACAGATGGCAGCAGTATCACACAGCTGAACAAAGCTAAGCAAGAGCTACAATAAAGTAGCTGTAATTTATTGTTTTGTCATTAGATAAATTATGTTAGGAGTCAAAACGAAGCTACAGGCAGGCCAAGACAAGCCAGAGAGGTCCTGAGTACTGTCAGCTCAACACAAAAACTGGTGAGGTACGTGTAATAGCAACTCCACACTCATGGGTTTGTGAAGACGCCACTTGCCAACAGCAGCTACACACACATCGTAACTGAGGAAACATATGTCTGAAATAAAAGTCCTGAAAAAGGAAGATAAAATAATTCACATTTTATGAGCATCACTTAACATTTGACAAGTTTCCATGCTCATTATAAATCAGGCTACCTGATTATCAATTAGAGCTAACTAAGGTCATTTACATTATACAGACACAACATAGAGCCATTCAGATTTTATTAGGATGCACATTCAATTGAAGTGAAGAAGCAATCTCTCAGACACAATGAAAAACAAAGAGAAATGAGGAGGAGCCAATTAGTTTGAAGACACCACCTTTCTCATCAAAATGTAACCAGAATTTTGTGCAATACTGTAATGGCCAGAAAGTCACTGAATTCAATTTGCAAGTAATTATAGCTATCTCTATGGAGAACAGAAAGTGGAAGATAAGATTACTGCTCTGAGAAAGGAAGGTTTAATCAACAGTCAGCAATGAGACAGGGTCAAACAGGAATAGGCTTCCAATTTGGTCAGCATCTAATTCGGGGAGATGGAGAAGATACTCAAACAAAAGAAATGCAATGAAGGCATTAGAGATACTTTTTTTGTATGAGGTGATAGAAAGATAAATCATTAACTTTTCTCCTATGAAAAAATGAACTCCTTTTCTATCATATAACAAAATTAATACAATTTATTTTTCATTAATTCCATGCTGATGATGTATGTCAGCACTAATTTAATGGAGGCAATTAGGTGAGAAAGAACAATAAAATTATCAGCCAAATCTAAAGAGTTCAGTTTAAAAAAATATATGAATAAACATTATTAGACTATTCATGCAGGAAGAGTTGTGCATGGACAAAGCAAAACAGAGAACTGTAAGATGCCACCATATAAAGCATCTGATGGTAGCTGATAGGATAACGGCAGCACTTAACAGCCCTAGAATCTCCTCAGAACTACAAATTTCCAATTTCTACAAAATTCGGAGCTACAAAATAAAATGAAAATGATGATCCAGTGTCTTAATGACTGGCATATTTTCTTTAATTAGACAAAACTTTAATCACCTTCAATTATATTTTAATCGTAATTAAAATTTATTGTGTTAGCTATCATTCTTTATTTCTTCTGCTTTTAAAATATCACTACAAAGCTTTGTCTGTTTCTGCAAACAGATTTGTGTTTACATCTTTTGAAAGCACAGAAGATTTCTCACAATTAACTCGTACCATAGACGATTTTTATCACTCAGCTGACAGACAGTACAGAAATAAAAAACCTGCTGAATAAGCATTCTGTATTTCTGTTAGGTATGCGATTTCAACTTAAGACTGATTTTATACTGCATTATTGATTTCTGTATTTAGTAATGACAAAAGGCAACTGTTTATTATGCTTACATACTCATTTGCATTTGAGCTTCTGGGGGGAGGGGAAAGCATTTATATTCAGCTTCTATCTACTCGCAGCAA